CAATCAATCAATCAATCAATCAATCAATCAATCAATCAATCAATCAATCAATCAAAACTTTATTTATATAGCACAAATCAAAATTAATGGTCTTCAAAAGAGATTTAAATTCATTAAGGCTTCTGGCAGACCTCACAGAGAGAGGGACACTGTTCCAGAGTTTAGAGCTACCACTGAGACGGCTCTGTTGCTCTTTGAGACCTAGGAACCACCAAGAGCATCAGGAAGATAAAATGTATTCATGTTCAAATAATTCTCCACTGGAAGGGTCTTACTGAGCAGGAACTGGAGAGCATAGGTAATGGGTAACAAAGATACCAGGGAACATAGGAAAAGGAGAACATAGGCATTGGGTAACAAAGATACCAAGAAACATACAGTACAGAATAAAGGTTTGGACACACCTTCTCATTCAAATAGTTTTCTTTATTTTCATGACTATGAAAACTGTAGATTCACACTGAAGGCATGAAAACTATGAATTAACACATGTGGAATTATACAATTAACAAAAAAGTGTGAAACAACTGAAAATATGTCTTATATTCTAGGTTCTTCAAAGTAGCCACCTTTTGCTTTGATTACTGCTTTGTACACTCTTGGCATTCTCTTGATGTACCTGAGTATTATACACAGGAGTAAATTTTGACTGACTTTGTTCTCGTACAAAGACAATAAGTTTCAATATTTCTTGGTATTACTGAATTATTCCCCCTCCCTCCTGCTGTAAGTCGTGCAAAGCGAAGCGTATAAACCGCAGCTGTTTACTCACAGATGTCGGAGGAGAAAGAATTTGTTTTCTTTTTTGGGGGGAGGAAAATAGGTACCAGGGTGAAGAAAATTTTTATAAATGATTAACTGAACGTTAGATGCAGTATTGTATTTTATACTTTCTGATCATTGCCTGTAAGGTTAAAGCAGACAAAGAGTTGGTGTGTGTATTATCGATGTGTTCTTTCTTTTAGCCTAAACAAAAATGAGTTACTCAGTCTGATATCGAGTAAAAGGTAACACCTCAAGGGGTGTAACCAGGAAGAGAAATACATTAAAAGGTCAATTCATTAGAAGGAAGTTGTTAGTGTGTTGCAGAGTCTCTGCTTAGAGCAGGGATGCTCTGTTTTGTTTGGGCTTTCAGCTCAAATCCTTATGCCTTAGGTCTGTACTGTGAACCTGATTGGAGTCAGAAAATTGAGAATAAAGTTTTAAGAAGAAATCAAGTGGATTCCTGTTTTATTCAGACATACCACTTTTGAACAGCATTTATTTCTACAAGGGAACTTAGGTATCAGGATAAGTACTGGGAAAAATAAGTATTGAGGAACATAAGTACCGGGGAACATAGGTACTTGAGGACATAGGAATGGATCCATGTGAGCAGGACTGCCTACTACTAAAGCTAAAATAACATAAACCACTGCTTAATGTCACACAAACAAGGCTACCAATGGTCATACAAACTGAGGTTTTCTTGTTAAGGTATAAAATTCAGATTGCATCCTGTGGTTTTAGAGAACAGTCCAAGTTTCTGACTTCTATAACTTGCTGCACATCCAGCATAATAAGTGGAATGTGACATGAATAAAAATTTCTACTGAGTGAAAAAATGAGCAGAAGGAAACTCTGGAGTCCAGAGATAAGAAGAGGGCAGCAGTAAAGGTCATTCAGAGGGTTCTTTAAATGAGAGTGTGCTGTGATCGAAGCATGTCTCTGATCGGAATAAGAATCTCTTTGTTTGACTTTGACGTCCCAGAAGTACTGTATGTTGTGTGTGAACTAGGGTYGGGCATAATCGTATTGTGTGCAGTTAATCGTCAGAAAAATATTAATCGATGATTTTTTTGGCACTTGACGATTAATACGATTAAAGTGCCTGTGACGTCAAATTTTTGTAATACATATGAATCCATTTTTAGAAAGAGGACATTGACAAAATGTTGCRAAATAAATTTCATGTAGCTGAGATGAACAGTTGTTGAGATATTTGCCTGTGAAGTAACAGGAAGTGATGTCATAGGGGAAKGTCTGCATGAAAACAGAGCTTTGCTAAAATGGCTAACAACCCAGCCTGTAGAGAAGAACCTGATGTTTATTTAGTTTGTTTTGAGTCTCTATCAGAGAGATGAAGAGTCAGAGTTCAAATGATATTGTTTCAATAAACAAAGACCAGAGAGTTTTCTTTGTTAAAGAGTTCCCCTGTGATTTCACCTCCTGTTTCACTTTGGCTGGGTCACGTTCAAAAAAAATATTCAGTTAAATGGGGAAAAGTGGGTATAATTGTGAGTATTATTCCAACTTTCTCAAATATAAAGATGTTTTCTTTGACTTTTTGTACTTGAAAAATATGCATGTCAATTTAATGCTACCARTCAGAGTCCGCTCGGTGCTCCTCTCCACTTCAGATATGACGAAGATTAAAAAAAGTTCTGTAATTTATTTATCTATCAACACAATTTAAAGTTTGGTGTATAGCCTGAAGTCTGTAATTTTGACACAATTTGGAATAGATATTTACAAAGAGCAAATCTTTCCCACAAAATTGGTTATGTGACCAGGACACACGGGTGTCCAGGGACTCCAGGGGATTAATCATCAAATTAATCGTTATTGGCTAAATTAATCGTGATTAATTTTTTTGCCAATATTCCCCAACCTTAGTGTGAACGTGCTGCAACATTAAAGCCAGAGAAACTGTGGTCTGTCTGTTCCTGTAGTGTTTTTTTCTTCACTGAAAGAAAAATTTGTGTAATCACAGCTAAGTTCTCATATAGGAAACAAGGTTTGCGTCTGTTTTATTGGGAAATAGTTATGATATTTGTCACCCACTGCCAAAAAAGGATGCATATATCATGTAAACTGCCTGAGCCTGTGTGTGCATGTGTTCATTTTTCTATCTTTTAGCAAAAAAAAAACAAAAAACTGAACTGCTGCAAAAATGAAACGATCTACAGCTGATTGACCTAAAATTTGGCATCATTCCTAACCCATACTGTAATTGCTGACTGATTTTGTGAGATTCTTTATTTRAAAATGTTGGCATGAAAGGTGGCAATAAACATTCCTTCGAAGAATGCTACATTTTAAATTTCTAATGTTTAACTTTAATGTGAAATTATGTGAAAAGACTGTCATGTAAGTGTACTTATTGTGTAATGTGTAATACTTTCAAGCCTTTAGGGAAATTTGTTTATTTATTCGCCTTTATGCATTCAGATAAATCTCATTGAAATCACAGACCTCTTTTGCAAGGGAGGCCTGGGCCTGAAGGTGGCTGTTTTTAGACTGGGGGAGAAAATCAAAGTACCTGGAGAAAACCCCATTCAAGAACAAGTAAAATATGCACATTCCACACAGAAAGACCCGGGTCTGAACCAGGGATCAAGCCCAGGATGTACTTGCTGTGCACTGTTCTGGAATTATCAGTTTGATGCTGAAAATAAGTTGTGCTGAAATGATGAAATCTTTTTCAAAAGCAATGTGACTTTTGACTTTTACCCCTTGCAATTAAAGTTTCATTTTGTTGCAAAATATTTTAGTGCAAGGGACTTAGAGCTCAGCTGCCCTTTTTTTTTTGCCTTTTTTAATTATTGACTTCAGCCTCACTATAGCACATAAATTAAAATGCAGACATAAACTTTATTGCTAAAAGTATTCGCTCACCTGCCTTGACTTATGAGCTTAAGTGACATCCCRWTCCTAATCCATAGGGTTCAACATGACGTTGGTCCATCCTTTGCAGCTAGAACAACTCTTCTGKGWWKGCTGTCCACAAGGTTTAGGAGTGAGTTTATGGGGATTTTTGACCATTCTTCCAGAAGCACATTAGTGAGGTCACATACTGATGTTGTACAGAAGGCCTGGCTCTCAGTCTCCGATCTAATTCATCCCAAAGGTGTTCTATCRGGTTGAGGTCAGGACTCTGTGCAGGCCAGTCAAGTTCATCCACACCAGACTCTGTCATCCATGTCTTTATGGACCTTGCTTTGTGCACTGGTGCATAGCCATTTGGATGGATGAGCAAATACTTTTGGCAATATAGTGTATGTTCAAGCATGGGCTTGTGCTGTTCCTGAACCTGTTTCTTCTTTTGGATGTTCCGTTTTAGAGTCTCCACAGCATCCTGTCCAATCCTGTTCCTACTTGRGTAAATCTAGAGAGGAAATCAGTCACGGCGAGCTCTCTCTCTCTGCTTTACTTTGCTCCCGGTTACCATTTAATCAACCCATCTCAAATTATACTTCTAATCCGGTTGTAACTCACACAATAAAAATCTGGAATCAGTGCAAGAGGTCGCTTAAATCTACAGAATTATTATTGTCTGCTCCAGTATCAAATAACCATATGTTTGCCCTTCACTAATGGACTCTGTTTTCAATACTTGGAGTTCAAAGGGAATAACTTCTCTAAATGATCTTTATATAGACAATAAGTTTGCCTCATTTGAACAGTTAGCACAGACATTTGACATCCATAAGTCACATTTCTTCAGGTATTTACAACTGAGACATTCCGCTACGTCCCCCAACTTCTCTTATAGATGAGATTCTGATGTGTAAGTCTGTAACAAAACGCTCTATAAGCAGAGTTTATTCTCTGCTCAGCTCATTTTCTGACTCCARTTTAGATTCTTTGAAGGGCAAGTGGGAGATGGACTTGGAGGAATCCATATCAGACACAGTTTGGCAAAAATATATTCAAATTATATATTCGTTCTCAATATGTGTGAAGCATGTTATAGTTCAATTCAAGGTAGTACATCGTCTACACTGGTCTAAGGACAGATTGTGCAAATTCAAAAGGGACTTGGATCCGACATGTGATCGTTGTAAACAATCCCCTGCCACACTTTTACATACATTCTGGTCCTGTCCTAAGCTACATGGATACTGGCAAGGCCTCTTTTGACACCTTTTCAGGACTATTTGGACGAACTGTTCATCCATCACCATTCATCTCTCTCTTTGGGGTGGCTCCAGCAGAAGCTTCCTTCAGTGAACATCAGAGGACAGTGTTAGCTTTCTGCTCTCTACTGGCTAGAAGACTTATTCTTCTTCGATGGAAGGATCCACATCCTCCAGTATATGGTCATTGGTTAAGAGAAGTTATGTCTTACATTCATTTAGAGAAGATTAGATATACTGTTAGGGGATCTGTAAACAAATTCTTTGATATCTGGCAGCCATTTGTATCTTATGTAGAAAAAATTTCGGCAGATAATTTTGTKTAAAGGTTAAATATTRYTTCATTATACACAAACCTGYTCATTGTATCATTTGATGAATACAAGATCATTTTTTGTTATTTCAGTGGATCCGGTATAGGAGGGGAGGGATGGGCGGGAATTTGGGTGTGTGTGTTTTGTTTTGTGTTTTTGTACGTATGTTCCTTTTTTTGGTTTGTAAAAAAATATATAAAGAATTTAATCAAAAGACCTTGATCAAAAAGAGAGTCTCCACAGCAGATCATCCATGTCACCCTCACCCAGCATCCTCCTCTGTCATGCCAACCCTCACACCCTCCCCCTTGTCAGAAAATATTTATTATTTGTCTAATGTGACCACTTTCCCAAACCATCTCAACCTAACTTTGTCCCAAAATGTTCAACCTTCATAYACTCAGTCTGATATTGAGTCAATATCTCATGGTGATAATCCAAACTTCTCGAGCTATATTTGCTGTTTTTAAATTTTTGATACCACCATAACTAAACTGTGCATGACAACAGCACTTAACCTTCCCCTTTCACTCCCTTGTAATCTCAGACACTCTATTCATTGCAAAACATAAAATCAAGCACAAAAAACTTTATCCTGATCTGAAAAATATCAAGTTTATAGATTTATAGTCAGTTTTCAAGCGTAGCAAAAAGCAGGTGGAAGCTTGTGTCGTGTGTTTACATGAGACTGGCTGGAGGTTGTGTAACTAAACAGAAATGGTGGAATCACGGTTAGGTGGGAGACAGATGAGTAAATCTGCTGCTAAATGTGAAAGGAAACAGAATTGCTGAGAATATCTTAAAAAAGACAGAGCTCATCATTCAAACACATATTTTTCAAAACTTCTTTGAGACTATTTTCAGTCGTTTCAGCTATTCCAAATAATACATCAAGGAGGAAACTAGTGTGTGAATTTATTTATTTATTTTTACGTGTCTTATGATTTTCAGAACATCTCTCCTTACATTTTCATACAACTGTACTTTCTAAGGGGGTATTTCATTTTGAATTGTCCTTTAAAAAGAAGAAAAAATCCAGCCATATGACACCTCCTGGACRGAGTAAAAAATAATTTTGTTTGGAGAAATATAAACATACAGCATTGGTTTTGTACATGATCCACACCTGCCTGACAAATGATGTCACACTCCAGCGGGACACAGCAGATGTAGCCTTTTATGAACCTGTGGCACAGATAACATATGCAGGGCCGGTCCTAGACAATTTGGCGCCCTAGGCAATATTTTAGGTGGTGGCTCTTATGCTGTTTTCTAAATCTCACTACCAATTTGCATACAGTCACATACCAAATTAAATAATTTTGAGTTTGACATTGTTTTTTTTAATTATCTTAACACCTGTTCATGTTAAGAAGCTGCCATGGAGTGAAGCATTCTAAGTGGTCCAGGGGTATGCTCCCCCCTGAATATTTTGTACAAGATCTGCTCAAATCTTTGCACTTTCTGTCCATTTGAAGAACATTTCACTACATTTTTTTTGGGATTATTAAAACAACATAAAATCTGCATTTTATGAAGGTAGCACACTGAAAACCAGACTTTAAACTGAACTTTATCTGAGATTATAACTGAAACTTTCATTAACCTTATTTTGATTTCTATTTACATTGATCAATCCACAAAATATCCTCAGCAGCATATAACACCTCATGCAGTAACAAAGCAGGCTGAGAAACCCACAAAACAAGTTACCTTCATAAACCTGAGTAATCGGTGATTATTCTACGGATTAAATCAGCTAAAACCCGATGAAAAATAATTATTTTCAACCCCCATTTGTAATGCCACCTAGATGGACGGCACCCTTACATTTACCATTGCTGCCTATGCCATAGGCCGGCCGTGCAGCTGAAACAGGTAGTCTATTTTTTAAAGTATCAATTTCTAATTTATTTATTATTAGTCATCAATGCCTTTAGAAAAATGTGTGTTTTGGGGAGGTGAATTATGCATTACAGGCTCCAGCCCTAAGCCTTGGTCCTTAACGTCTTAGTTTTAAAACTACCACTTTTATTTGAATTGAAATCTTGAGTCGATACTTCAACAGAAGTGTATTTAAATCATGATATGTATATTTCTACTTGAGAAATGAATGTGAAAACTTTTGACACCTCCTTTGGATTATAAGGAAAATTCCAAGCCCTCCCAATTGCAGTTTATTTCACACATCCACACTTAACTAATAAAAGTAAACTGAAGGTTGCACTAAAAATAAACTACAACCGCTTTTATTTTTAAGTGTAACTTTTTTTTACTTGAAATCAAGATTTCTGTTTAAAAGAATGCTTGTCTGTGCAAAAAGAGTTTAAAAACATTAACACTCGGAGAACAACAAAAACCATGTTTGATAAAAAAAAATCACATCTTTAATCTTGATTTATAACCTCATTATAAAACCATCCGYTATGCCAGCAGCATCCAAACGATCATCTTTACGTTATGTACCACACACCCCATGCAGGACCACAGTGCCCCTCACTAGGGGGTGCTCCCCACACTTCAGGAATCTCTGGACTATACTCAAAAAAACCGATGTGTTGGATTTGAGTTACACTCACAACTCACTTCCTCGTAAAGTATGATGAACCAAAACAAGGTGTAATTTTATGTTTACACATACAGAAGCTGTCAGGCATGACACTGTCACTGAGTGTTATTTGGAGTTCATTTTTAGAATGAGGCTTTTCTTGTAGATTCCTTGAAAACTGAAGGGGGGAGGGGGGTCTAAGAGCAGACTGTTTACTCTGCAGGAACCTAGTCAGCAAATGCCAACATGAAAAAAAAGGAAAAAACTCCAGAGTTTTTGGACATATTTGACTTTATTTGAGTGGATTTCCATCACTGTATCCAGTTCTTGCAGCAGTAACAGCTGTGTGGAAGGAATGATCGACCAGCTTCAGGTCGAGTTTCTGCAGCTGGATTCAGCAGTGTAGAATAACAACTTTCATCAACTTTAAAGTTTCACCGTTTGCCTCACACATACAAACACTTCGAACATAATCATCATCAACATGTGAAAGGAAAACAAAACAAAACAAAACAAAAATTAAAAAATCAAACTGTGATACCCAGCTCAGACGGCATGCTGAATGCAAGTACTGATTCAGTACACAAACATACACTGCATACGCACGACACACGTGCATACAAACAGGATTTCACACATTTTCTTTTATTGTCTCTGTACATGTAAGAACACATTTTATACACCTACTCAGGTCCATTGTTGGACACTCACACACACACAGATCAATTTTAGCAACATGCAGTCAACAGTTAACACTGCAGCTTCTGACCCAATAAACAAACATCACTCTTTTTTATTTAGCTGTTTGCCTGAAACAGCATCATCACAAATGTGTCTTCAAGGTGGGAAAAAAAGTGTTTTTTTTGTAAGAAAACAAAGCTTCATAATGTAAAAGAAAAGGGAAGGAAAGAACAGCCATAGCAGCAGTTTCACAAAAAATTCTGTACTAATTTGCCTTTTGTTTACAAAAACATGATCGACGGCACGACTGAACCCAGACGAACGACGTTAAGGTATCAAGAGGAACCGTAAACAAACCGATTCAATGCAAGATGTATAAAAATATATTCACCGGATAATCTGGTTCTCCTCTTTAATTGTTGGAAGCTGGAAGTGAGGCAGAAAAAAAATTCCTTCATATTTTCTGAGAGTGTTTTTCCTCCCCAAGAGTATCTATTTTACAACTCTGAAATAATAAATGGAATAAATGTTGGAACACTATTTGTGACATGATAGATCTCTCCTTCCTTCAGTTTTACTTTAAACAACAACTAAATGTATCATAATCAAGACAAATTCTATATTTGGTCTACTGAAAGGGTGTGTTCAACAGATGTGCTTGTGTCCAGGAAGTTGCCTGTTTGAACCCTTGCAGGTACAGTTCAGCTCTGCTTCTTCACACCCCTGGATGTTAAATATAAGCAGCTGTGCAAGCGTGAAGCAGGTGAAACAAAGAAACAAACAAACAACAAAAAAAAAGCTTTTAGGATCAAGAAAAAGTTGCACAAATCTGTGCCTGATGAGCGGGAAACACGTCGACACTTTCCCTCCATTATCTGAAAGCAAGTGCAAACTTTCACAGCTTCTTTCTTCTTCATGCCCTGAATTGTCAAGTACACAAATCTCCCTTCTAGTTTTCTAGCATTTTTGAACGAGACTTCTTTATTTGTTGTTGTATTCTGCACAGCAGACAGTGAGACTAGTTAAGGACGTAGAAAGGGGTGGTTCCATGTTAGAGTTGGAACTGGAGTGTGTTTCTGTTATCTTGCCTCCCACTTCACTCTTCAGCTACTTCGGTGCAACTACTCCTGCTCCTCTCACGGCGCTGCCGACTATTCGTACTCCAGAAACTGTTTGTGGTAAAACAAAAGGTACCTGAGGAGACGAAAGCAGCAAAGAGTGAAATCCACGCCTTGCTAAAAGGAGAACTGCTGAGTCTTCGGCTCACCTACCCTTCGCTATCGAGCACATCCTTGATGCTGGCCTTGGTGATGATGGCGTCGTCGCACTTGAACCACTGGTCCTTGTGCTGCCGGATGAAGGTGGTGTAATGGCCGCTCTCTAGTGTCCCCTGATGGTTCACCACTGCAAACAAACTGTACCTGAAAAACAAAGTAGGAKACGGTGACGGTTTATTATGCTTCAATTAATGGAACACAGAAAGGTAGTAAAAAAATTATTTAAAGATTTATCCCTTGAATTAATAAAAAAAAATTATTTACGAGGAGGAAACGTTTGTCGGATTCTGTCCTAAACAACTTTATCTAAACAATAATAATGTAGAATTTTATGACAGCAATGCATAAAAAACGGGGAATTCTTTAATTATCAGATAAATTTGTGACAGTTGAGGGTTTCAGGACTGGGTATCACATTGATTTTAAAAAATAACTAAAGTGCTTTAGACAAGTACTTCAGCCCGTATCCTTTGATACCCTGTAAGTACCAGGTAGTACCCTTTAATACACAGCCCTATCCCTGTATGTATCTGGTACATACGCAGTAAGTACCTGCTCAGTACTAGGAGCATATTTCCTCAAACCCAACCCCCCCAACAGTGTGTACCAGGCACATACAAGGTATATACTCTTGTAAGTACCAGGTACGTACTGTGTTAGTACACTGTAACAAGTCACTTCAATTAGTGGTGTCCCAATACCAGTATTTTTACATGTACTTTTACTTGAACAAAATGCCCCAATACTCAGGACCACTAAATGTACTGATACCGATACATGAATTGATGCTGCATTAAATGTGTTACAGTTTACAGTTCAAGTGAAAGTTCCATGTTTGGGAAATTTATAGAAGTTGAAAGAAAATCCTATTTTTTATTTTTAGTTATTTTTAAAACTTTGCAATATATACTCTATATCACGCCGTATATTAGATTTGATCCAATCAGAGAGGCTGTAGGCCTATATGGAAGGAAAGACACCATGTTCTAAATAAATGTGGTTGTAAAGTCATTGGGCCTCATGCAAGAACATGTTCGTATTTTTATCCTAAATTTCTCTTACTTTTGTTCGTACAAAGGGTTCRTACGAACATGTCACGTCAGATTCAACAAACTCTTCTATCTTCAGGAAACGTGTGTAAATGAGCTGCGTAAATTCCACCTGTTCGTATCCAGCTGCTCGTGCACGCGAGAGGAGATTAGCATAATTACCACCCCAAAAACACCATATAAGGCTATGATTCCTTCCTCAGATATCAGGAAGTGTCCATTCAGGAAAATGACAGCGAAAACTAAAAAGAARAACTTTACGAGTTCAGAGATTGAAGTCCATCTGTCAGAGATCCAGAAAAGAAAATCTGTCATTTTTAGCAGGTCAGCTGTGGGATAAAAAGAGCTGCTAAAAGTATAAACAACTGTGTTAAATCATTTTCATTTATTCAGAAGCCACAGCGCTGCGCACCGTGACCCCCCCTACAAAACTTTTCAGAAACATTTAGAAACTCTTAAAAAAAATCTCATGCCCACTTTGTGTCCTAAAAACCAAAACAACAAAAATCATTTTTAGTTTTTTTTCTTCTACATCTCTGTCTATTCTGATCCTGCCACTGATAAATTTAAAGGTAAAACAAAAACCTCTGTTCCTGACACGGTTAAGAAAAAAGGATTTTTTWAAGCAGGAAATACATATTTTATCAGAGCAATTACAAAATGTTTGCAGTTTGCAGTGTAAGGAACCAATAAACTAAAAGTGATCCAACATAAACTGGGTTTTTAAATGAACTATTTACTTTTGAATGGTTTTATTTTTCAYTTGTATTTGTCTTACTTATTGTCATTGTTGAATGGGTCCACAGTCTGCTGGTACTGTCCGTTCATCCTGCTTTCTTTACTGAAACACAACAAACAACACATTTAATATCACTGTTACTGATGTCTGCAGCCCATGAAAGTGTGAAAAGGCTCTTCTCTTATTTAGTCTCAGCACTCAGCTGTATGGTCAACAATCATAGCACTACTAGTCTTTAGGGTTTGAGGCAACAAGCTTTGCACAGTGGGACATTTTCTGACATTCTTCTTTGTTTTTTTGGCCCCCTTCCTCAGATCAGTGCCTCCCAACAACTCTGTCTCTGAGCTCTGCAGGCTTCCTTTCACCTCAAGGTCTGTTTCTTTTTTTTTTTTGCATTGGTTGACAGATAGAAGAACTTCGATAGAGAGATGTGCAAGTCTTTCTAAATCAGTTTGTATTCTTATTGTTTATCCCAGATAAAATTTAGGAGATATCTCAGCCATCAAAAGTAAAGAGAGTCGCCTGAGATCAAGTTTAGACGTTGTTGCAAAATGTTCTGAATACTTACTGTACATGATTCTTATTTTTTTGTGTTTTATTTTTTTACTAATTTATACAATATCTCACAGAAAATTACAAACGGTGCACCAGACAAACCAGTCCAACTCCCGGCATTGAATTTTCTTCAGAAACAGGAAATGAACAGAAAACACAGAGTTATATTAAATACAGAGCTTTAACTTCCAGCTCTTTTACAGTTCTTGCACGTCTGTTTTTTTCCCTCCTTTTTGACTGCGAGTCTTTTGGGTTCTGCTCACCTGGAGGCCATGAAGGGGGTCATGTCTAGTTCCAGTGGGAAGGAGACATAAGTAGTGATCTTCCTCCGTAGTTTGGCCGAGTGCTCAAACCTCTGCAAACACACACGCGTGCGCAATTATACATACACACACGCAAAAACAGGTCTGTGTTGAATCACTGATRTGATTATCAGCATCTGTTAAAAAGTCAACAATCATGTAGTTACTTTGAGGTGAAAGCAGGCCACGATGGGCAGCTTCTTCATGGTCAGCTGCTTRGTGGACTCCTGGTAACTATGGCAACCGCTGCACTTGATCTTGGCACTGCTGCCGAGGTGCTCTGGTCTGGTGAACCTGAACAGGAGAGAGGTTGGKGGGGATTCAGAAACAGACTGCTTGAGCTTCTGTGCACAGCTTTCACCTGCTGCTTCTCACCCCCCACACCCTGCAGATTTTTGTTTAAATACTGTCGTAATTAMTTCTCTTTAAAAGGAAAAGATCTTCAAAGATCAAATTTATCCTCCGACATAAAGACTTAGAGGTGTTGGCCTTGTATATCAGTCACCTGCGCAGACAGTCCATGAGTGTTGTGGCTCCAGTGGTGTGACTCTCTCCATTAAGGGCTGACACCTCTCCACCTGGGCTGAGGGGCCAGAACGGTGTGGAGGAGCCTGGCAGGTCCAAGCTGATGTCCCAGAATGGGTCGATGGTTGTTGAAACACCACTTTAAAAGAAAAAGACTGGAGTGTGAGGGTGTATGAAGAATACAAAAGGTTGTACAACAGATTCAAAGTGCATCTGTCTGATAAACTGTAAAATCTGTAAACAACCTGACAAGAAACAAAGCTGTAGTTTCTTTTATTGACAATGACATTTAGTTGTACTCTATTGAAATGATATTGTATGTTTTCTGTACATATAATAGATAGAAAGAACAACTGCACGTTGCCGGATCAAACCCAGGCTGGTGACCTTTCTAGGTAGAGTTAGCATGTTCTCTCCGTGCATGCATGGGTTTTCTTCAGGTACTCTGGTTTCCTCCCACAGACAAACATGACTGTTAGGTGAGTGAGAGAGTGAATGGCTATTTGTCTCCATGTGGCCCTGTGATGGAYTTGYAATCTGTTCAGTGTCCACCGTCCCTCGCACAGTGACTGCTGGACATGGGCACCAGTGAGAGACATGTCTATAAAGAATAATGGATGTTTGATCTTGGAGATATTAGCCAAAAGACCATTTAATTCTGAGCTCAGACCCAACGAATAGTCAATGTGAGATAACGTGATATGAAAAGAAACTAAGTTCTACAGGAGTGAGAGATACACTGYGTGACAGAAGGTAAAATAACATTTTCATGAATATTTGAAAATGTGAAAACGCAGAACTAAAAATGGGCTTGTCTTCAAAACGTTAAGAGTGTATCATCATTGGTTTCTAAGTAGAAAATTATGTGATATGATAATAAAAAACTAAAAATGTAAATTCAGTCATGTAAAGTTCAGCTTTCTGTGACTTGTTAACAATTTGAATGTTTCTACTGTGAAATATGTTTGACCTATAGAGCTCTACAGAAGACTCATCACAGGGAGGAAGACTTGTAATCATTTTAAGGCTCAGTTATAATTCATCACGTCTTGAACCACAGAGATTGTGAAAGCTAAAAGGAAAACAAACAAATCTGAACTAATTCCTCAAGGTTCTAAAACTACCCTCAAGTTGCTGCAGATGGCTAACACTAGATGTCCTTTTTATACATTTGCAATGAGTATTTGACTTTCAGCAATTAGAATGGTAAATAGTAAAAGTCAAGTAAATGGTTTTAAGTCATACCTCTCAGACCATTCCTTCTCAGTCCTTGTAGATCAAACATATTCTGGTTCAGCACAATTCACCTGCGGAGTACCACAGGGTTCCATTTTGGGCCTTATTCTATTCCTCATCTACATCCGCCCCCTAAGTCAGATCATAAATAATTTCCCTGTCATCTCATACCACTTCTATGCAGACGACTTGCAGCTGTACTGCTCTTTTAATGAGTCCAGCTACCACAAACTGCCTTCCTTTTTAAACTGTATCACTGAAATTAATCGCTGGCTGTCAGACAACCTTCTGCTCCTTAACCTTTCCAAGACTGAGACACTGATTCCTGGCACCAGAAAACAAAATCACAGAGATAAAACATCAGCTTGGCTCCTTGGGTCCAACCGTTAAACAGAACATTCGAAACCTAGGAGTCAACTTAGACTCAGATCTGTCCTTGGGTAAACATGTTAAAAGTCTGGTTTCATCATGCTTCTTTCAGCTCCGTAACATTTCAAAACTTTGCCCTATACTGTCTGCCTCTGACCTAGAAATGCTAATCCACGCCTTTGTCTTGACCCGCCTAGACTATTGCAACAGCCTGTTCACCTGCCWGAACCAAAAACTTAATCGTCTCCAACTTGTACAAAATTCAGCAAGACTTCTAACTCGCACTTCGAAACTCTCCCACATTACTCCGATCTTATCAGAGCTTCACTGGCGACCTGTCCACTTCAGAATCAGATTCAAAATTCTAGTTCTCACCTTCAGAGCCCAACTACATCTTGAGCCCCATCTCCCACTATAATCCAACACGCAATTGCGTTCACAAAATCAGAATCTTCTCATGGTCCCCCCTACCCATCTCAAGACCCACGGAGACCGTGCTTTCTCCTCCATGGCACCCAGACTTTGGAATGCTCTCCCGGTCCATCTGTGCTCCGTTGATAACACTGACACCTTTAAAAATAAACTAATAACACATCTATTCACTCAAGCATTTAGCTGAAGGTATCCTGCCGTCCACAACATAAATCCTGAACCTTAATTTTCCTTGACTGCAAAACACGTACTTCACTTCAGACTGGTATCGATTTATTTACATATACGCCACGACCTTCGACTCCAATTAGTTACAGGCAAGCCTGTCTATTGTACATACCTTAATTACTTTTTTCTCCATCATTGTTATTCCATGCCCCCTACTATTCCAAAAATTTGAGAATGTATTGACCTGAATTTCACCATTTGTAATGTAATTGTCAAGTATTTCTGTTTTTGTAATGCAATTGTCAAATATTTCTGTTTTTCTATTTGTGTTTGATTATTGTGCAGCACCTGCTGCCAATTAACTCTTTCTATATTAATGATTATTGTACAGCACCTTGTGAATTCCATTTCTGTGAAAGGTGCAGTATAAATAAAATTTTACTTACTTACTTACTAGTAAAACACATTTGTTCAATAACACTTCCATATCTGGAGGTTTGCATCGGTGGAGGTTTTCCAGAGAAGACTGCATGTTCACTGTGTTTCACATCAGCAGTTTTTATTGTCAGACAACATGTTTGCACTCTGTGCAATGGAAGGAAGAAAATGAAGAAAAAGATCTGACAAAAAGATCAAAAAACCTAAAGGTTTTGGACTATACCGAAGAGAAGAAAAGCAAAAATGCTCTACAGTAAAACCAGTTTAGTCAACTTTGCCGATATAATCCCTGAGTGAAACTGTACTTCCTGCAGATACAGTATTAAACTAGAACTGTAAAGCAGTTATGACCGGGGTCCAAGCCCGTTTATGCACATCCACTTTGACTCATGTTGCTTACAGCATCCTGTCAATCTTGTGTACCAGAGAACTGTAGCATGATGGGAAGTTTTTATGAGGTCTGTTGGAGGGCTAATTTGCCACAGCATCTGCTGAGCTCCTTCTTCACCAGTGTGCCTATAATGGTTCTCGTCAATTTAGGGTTGACCAAATGTGTGTGTTTATTTTTGGTTCCAATCACACTTTTGGATATACCTCAGTGGTATTTCTAGGCAGGTCAAGCTGAGTACTGACTTCACAATGGAGAAGGGGCTTTTGTAACGCGGGTCCCATGTAAGACATAGACAAGAATAGGTGTGTGTGTGTGAGTCCACATAAAGTGAGAAAATTATTTATTTGTGACCCTGTAAATGAGAAAGTCAAGTGTGTGTACATATGTACTTGTATTTGTTTCTTTGTGTTAACTAAATTTGACAGTTTTTCCCAGAACACACAGCCTTTTGAGGACTGAAGCTGGAAACATACTCCCTGCGAACTGCCGACATCGGCACGGGTTGTCGCAGTTTAATGACAAAAATTACGTCATTGGGCTTTGCAGCATCGTGTCGACAGCCCCTTTTGGCACAAGCCCCCGGCAGAACTTTTTGACCCCCCTCGCTTGTCAACGGTWATGTGTGATTGGTCTGAACTGAAAGCGCTCGGACAGACACAGCAGAAGAAAAAAAAACAAAAACTCGCTTCTGACTAGAGCAGACTGTTTTGAGCAGTTTTAAAGATAGACAAACCGAGAAAAACTCATGCGTGTTTGTGTTGACAGCGCTATGCGCTGCGTTTACTTCAACCACTTGGTAAAAAAAAGGGAAAAAAAAACAGACTCGCTCCCCAAGCCGACCAGGAAGCAGAGTTTTATAAAGATAGTCAAACCGTGAGAAACTCATGAATGGAGATAAACAGACATAACAGATAAACAGGCACAGAGGAATCTGAAACTGTAGAGCTTTTTAACCAGGACGGATGTGGATAAAAATCCGTCGGGTGAGTGACTTTTTTTCTGCATTGCTGTTGAGGGGAGAAACTCCATGCAGTGACGTATGTTTCAGCGGGAGGGAGGGGTTTCCCCGAGCTCGTCGGCGCAGTGTGCAGGAACTATGAAAGGTCTGTGCGAAAATGACTGCCGACCAACCACGTGACCGCGCGTTGACCCGTCGGCGTCGGAGCGAGTATGTTTCCACCTTGACCGTATGTGTATCAAAGCTTGGTCCCCAGTGACAAGTTGGAAATTAGAGATTGTTCTCATAAAGATAGTAAAACAAGTATGTGTGCCTATCATTCCTTCATGAGCTTAAAATTTAAAAATTACCTAAAATCACAAGATTGTCAAATTCTGAAAATATTTGGTAATGACTGGCTGCACATTATGTATGTATACATTTTTTAAAAGCCCCTCAGGTTCAAACTTTTCCATCAAAATTTTTTTTTATTATGCATAGTGCATAGCATTAAAAAACAAAATGCTACTGATGCTATTGATTATATTCAAGAAAAAAAACTGTTTATAAGAAAGGTTGGAAAACATCCATGCTAKTTTTCCTGCTGATTGAAAAATACAGCACTAACTTACTAGCATGTTGCTAATTTTAAGACTCTCTATAAAAAGGATTAAACATTTTAAAATGTCAGACCTTTCAGAAGTATCGTAGCAATTTATTATAAATCAGACAATGTGTTCTGTGATTTTTTTTTTACCTCTGTAGGTCAAATGTGTTTTTTAATAAATTTTTAGTGTGTCATTCACAAACCACTCCCACTTTTGCCAGTCATTACCAAATTGTATAGAACAACTCAGTTTGTGGTCTTAAGCAAGTGTAGTAGATTTGGTAGCAATTGGCATTAGCATTTTTGAGATATAAACATGGTGCATTTTTTGCACCCCCTAGAGTTTGGTGAAAATGAAAAATTTAAACTGCTTTAGGACAATCCCTTGAATGTTTGATGTCAATATGTGTTAAAATACATAAAAGATGGTTTTTGGTAATGCTAACAAGCTGGCTTTTTATATGCATAAACATATCTCAGTCAAACAACCTTTTCTTCACAGCTTTTGCAGCCACTACTACTGCTACATGAAAAGTTTCATGCTTATTAGAGTTGCACCTTTGGAGAAGCACATTTGCCAATTGTCATTGAAAACAATACATTTTTTAAACAAACTTATGTTTCATCAAAAATACAGTACAAATTAACGATTAACAGGCCAAAACGTTTTTGTGATTGGGCTAAATATACTGGAGTTACCAATCAAAATGTTTTACCCTTTACAGTAATGCCACCTATTGGTACACTGATGTAGATTTTTGTATTATATAGCAGTTAGTGCCCACTAGTTTTACTATGAAAAACTAATTTCGGCTCCATGACTGATATTTTTGTACTTGTTCTTCAAAACTTAGAATCAGCATACTAATTAGATGGAGGATGGTAAGTTTTGTGGCAACTGAACTTTAAGCCTTTAAACAAAAGCTAAAAATCTTTTTTTTTACAAATTTTGCACTGTAGAAAAAAACAACTTTAGGTGAAAATAGGCGTGGCCTATGCCACGTGACTCTGTGGTGTCCAGGGATTATTTTGCTATAAGCCAAACAATTCTGTGACTTACTGTTTAGAAGCTAGATGACCAAATGCAAAGACATTGATTACAGCGTCTCCTATAGGTTGACTTGTCTGATTATTTTTCTTCTCTGTACTCGTAAGACTCGTAAACGCTGCTGCTTTTCAGCTGCATTCCCCTAATCTGTGGGCTGGGACCCCTAATTACTCTGCACAAACTTTCTAGTTAGGAACTAGAAAACAATTTAGCAGAAAATGTAGCAATGCACAAGATGGATGAGATGGAACAATACTAGCCCAAGGATTAGGATTGGATTCAAAAGAAATTAATTTGACTTAATAATTGAACAGCCTTCAAAAGATTTACCCACAAAAATGTTATGTCATGTGAAAAACAACTACCCTAGAATGTGTACGTCCAAAATACTGAATGGATTTTTGTTTCAGAAGATCAAAGAGCACGTCTGTTTGTTTGTAATGTTAGCCAAATATTTCATGAACCACTAGACAGATTGATTGAAGCGATCAGGACATAATCATTAGATGTATATCTACTATGAATTAACTTTTGAAGTCAGCCCAATTYAAGATGAATGTGTATCAACAAATCAACAAAACTTGTTATAGCTCAATTAACTTTACAGATATTGAGCTAAATTTTGGTGTGATAGTAGCTGAGAGTCATACTCAGCACACACTAATGAGGCTGAGCATAACAGCTACAAACTCAGTCCTTTTTCCTTATATGATCCTAGTTTCAAACTTTGACCATGTGATGTGCAGTGCATGAAAGAATGCTAACCCTTTACTTAAAATAGAGTACTACTGTCTCCAAGTGAGAACTCAGAGACTTGGCGAAAGCACTGAAGTGGGTTTGGGTCTAACACTTGTTTGAAAAATTCCTTTAAAAGTGCAGATAATCTCATGAATCCACAAGGTGGCAGTAGAGAATAACTTTTCAGCCAGTGAGGGAGAARAGGCTTGTTGCTGCAGTGTAGCAGCTCAAAGAGAGGATGTGTGACATCTGAAAGATAWGAGTTAAACAGAAAAGAGGCGGGAGCTGGGCTGCCTGAAGAGAAGCAATTAAAGACACATTTCAGTCAATTTTATTCTCTTCAGTTTTGTGAGAATCCAGGAAGCCATAACTGGTGTGAAAGTTTTTACCCCCTCACACACACGGACTCACTGGCAGACTTGGCAGGTGACGTCAGACTGCAGGCCCCCTGTGAAGATTTGGTCAATGATGCAGTTACAGTGGTTCGGGTTGTTGGCTTTCTTCCCGTTGTCATCTGTGGAGACACACGCATGTACGGCATCATTAAAAGCAATCCTGTGCAACTTCATACCCCCCGCTCTGCTTGAAYACTGACAAAAGTGACAAACAAGATCAGTGAACCGCTAACAGCCGATGCTGGTGTTAGTCGGTCATCTCTTACCTTTACAGTGCCGGTGCAGCACGTCTAGCGCAGCAATGAGGAACTCGTGGGCGTCCTGCTGCTCGTAGCCGGCCAGGTGCCGGGCGTGGGTCCACACCAGGTGCAGGAGGCGGAACGGGATGTGAGGGGAGCGATGGCCTGAGTAGAACTGAGGAAGGAACAAAGTGTGAGAGAAGACATTTTCTTTCGCCTTGGGCTGTGAAGACAAACAAATGAGCCCATCACCTCCTGGAAGAGTTGGGACATCTCACACACCAAGCATGAGTTGCTCTGCATCTCACATTTGTGTCGGTCAGACAGGAAGAAGTCGCGCAGCAGCGGAGTGTGTGTCAGCGCCTGCACGATGCAGTTCATAAAACAGGTGTTGCCCAGGTTTATAAGACCACGCAGGCCTGAAAGAGAATGWAAGATGGGGAGAAGAGAATTAATGGCTCAAAACAAAGAAGGAATGAAGAGGGAGGAAGAGAGACAACTCTGATGCCCAACCACACACTGACAGAAAGGAGGAGAAAGAAATCAGGAGGAAAGGAAGCAGAAAAAGACTAGGAGGTATCATTGTCAGTGATAAGCAGCCAAATCTGTAAATCTCCTCCTGTGAGACAGAGTCAGTGATGCTAATGGTGCTGGGCGGATCACTGCAGGCTGCTACAAGGTGTTAAAGTCTGTCAGCAGTCCTCACAGCCACACACTGACTGATGACTCCACCGCTTTGCTCCAACTTTCCCTGTCGCTACAGTGTATTTATAGTTCTGCTAACTCAACATATCCATGAATGCTTCACCTTCACGTCTGATTTCTTTTCACTTCTGCTTGTCTGTCAGTAAARAGCAAATGCTGCCCATAGTCCATAAAAAACAATCAAATCGATCAGGCAGCGGGCAGCTCCAGCTCCTTTTCACAGGTTTGCACAACACAGAAGTACAAACCTATTGTACAGTTGGAGGTGATTCTCCTTCTCTTGGGGTTGTGGCGAAGCAACTCCAGCTCCCTCTTTGTGGGCTCCCATGTTGAGTACTTCTCCCCGATACCTGCAGCAAGTGAAACCAAAGACAAACCCTTGGAAACATGCTTCGTTTGTTTCAATGGTTTRTGTTAACGGCACCTGTTGAAAGTTTTGCATCTGAGACAAAAATCAACTTTAGAAAATGAACAAAAAAATAAAAAATAAATACTGAATTCAAAGTGAATGCTGTGAATGAGCTAGATGACAACATAACCTAAAGTCTATATTCATGTGTTTTTAAACACATAGATCAGTAATATTAAAGTGGGCTTTTAGGTATAATTATCATTTAAGTCTTACTTATTGAAGTTTAAGCAAACAGCTTGATTTATATTTTGCAAGATGTTGAGAATTCTGCTCTCATTGTCGCAGTTGAGTGACAAAATTACATCATTTTGATCTCGCAGGCTTTGAAAGCTCCTGTTCTGTGCACAACACTCATATAATTCCTATGTGTAAAATTCTGGAGRTTAAAATAAATCCACTTGTATCTTTGTTGCGGTTGAACTAGCTGTTAGCTTAGCAATCCTGTTGACTTCAAAGTAAACTGAGGTCAATTTAAGAGCAAGCTCAGTATATTATTATACTTTACACAGAAAGCCACTTCTAAATTGACAAACTATCATTTTGAATCTTTCAGGTTCACACAATTATGTTTACATAAACAGACTGATAACATTCAGTGAGTGGGAACCACCTCGTAACCCCAGGATTTGTTTCTTAATACTTATTTCAAATTGACAATTTTATACATTTTTGCTTCAAAAATTTAGTTGTGTTTAATTTTAGTTGYGTTAACTAGACCGTGAAACTAGAACTCTGGGTTTTTATTTCCAAGAGTGAACCACCTGACTCTCAGTTTAAAAAAAATATTTTAATATGTTTGGTTAAACTGTGCTAAAGTCTCAAGTTGTTGTTTTATTCATATTTGTATTTCAAGTATTCAGATGTTTCTTATAAGTACTGTACGTCGACAGCTGATTAATTTTTGAAGTTAATCCAATTCAAGGAGTCCACATGTCTGAAACAAACAGTTATAACTCAGTCATTTTTACAGATGTTGAGCTCAAATTTGGTATGGTTGTAACTAAATATTACTCCCAACCATGGAGTTTTATAGAACAGCTGGAGTGTGTCTTGGTCTTGTGATGTTGTGATCTATTGGAGCAACGTTGGCCATAACCAAACCAAGCAAGTGTCTGGATTTAGCATTACTGTACAGTATATGTTGACAAAATTCCAAACAATAGGGACTGGTTATGTAAAAATCAGGGTTCGACAAATCCTATTGCCCGACTGCCCGGGGCAAGTAAAACCCATATTTGGGCAGGTGGGTGTGTCCCRATGCCTGCCCGACCGGGCAGGTAAACCATTTCTTTATTTTTTGGCTATTTAYTCGAAATATTCTGAAARTAAATGAAGAAATATAGCAYTTTAAAACACGTAAAGAGAAAATAAATCCTCAAAATTTCCCCCTCCTGCTGTAGAAAAGTTACRTCGTGCAGCGTGTCGTGGGATCCTCTCTCCCTCCTTCCTGCTGCACGTCACGCAGAGCAAAGCTTTAACAACCRTAGTTTTTTCACACCCGTGTTTTCGGAGAAAAAAAACTTTTCTTATGTATTGTTACCCACAGAGATGAAAAAATATATGGACGTTCGTTCAGTCATAAATCCTTCTCGCTAATGTTGGCTTCTGCTCTGATGATGAAGATGATGAAGATGAGAGCACAGCAGCAGCAGAGGGTCAATTCAGGAGGCAGAAGCTCATTGTATGGCAGGCCGTTATAACATTTATTTGGCTTCACCACACTTATATTCTAGT